GGCTTCCAGTACTATATTGAATAAAGGTGGTGAGAGTGGACATTCCTGCCTTGTTTTTGACTTTAGAGGAAAAGCTCTCAGTTTTTCCCCATTTAGGATGATATTAGCTGTGGGTTTTTCATATATGGCCTTTATTATGTAGAGGTATGTTCTCGCTAAACGTACTTTGTTGAAAGTTTTTATCATGAATCGATGTTGTATTTTGTCAACGGTTTTTTCTGCATCAAAATGATCTTATGGTTCTTATCCTTTCTTTTATTAATCTATCACGCTAATTGATTGTGAATATTGAACCACCTGTGTAACCCAGGAATAAATCCCATGGATTCAGTTTGCTAGTATTTTGTTGAGGTTTTCTATATCTGTGTTCATCAGAGGTATTGGCCTGTAGTTATCTTTTTTTTGTGGTGTCTTTATCTGGTTTTGGTACCAGGCTAATGCTGGCCTCATAGAATGAATTGAGAAGTTTTCTTCCCTCTTCTGTTTTTTTGAATAGTTTGAGAAGAATAGGCATTAACTCTTCTTTAAATGTTTGGTAGAATTTGCCTCCCAAGCCATCTGGGTCCTGGACTTCGTTTTTTGGGAGTTTTTTGACTACTGATCCAATTTCTTTGCTATCAATCTGTCCAAATTATCTATTTCTTCCTGTTTCGGTTTTGATAATGTATTTATTTCTTGGAATTTATTCATTTCTTATAGGTTGTCCAGTTTGTTGGCATATAGTTTTTCATAGTATTCTCGTATAATTGTAGTTCTGTGGTGTTGGTTGTTATTTTTTTCCTCTCTCATTTGTGATTTTGTTACTTTCTTTCTCTTTTTGCTAAGTCTGGCTAGAGGTTTATCAATTAATTTTTTAAAGAAACAACTGGTTTTATTGATCTTTTCTATTGTTTTTTTTTTTTAGTTTCTATATCATTTATTTCTGTTTTGATTCTTATTTCTTCCTTCTCTTGGCTTAAGGCATCATTTGTTGTTCTTTTTCTAGCTCCTTTAGGTATAAGGTTAGGTTGTTCATTTGAGATTTTTCTTGCTTCTTGAGGTAGACTTGTATTGCTATACTCCTCCCTCTTAGAACTGCTTTTGCTACATCCCAAAGATTTTGGATCATTGTGTTTTATTTTCATTTGTTTCCATGCATTTTTTATTTTATTCTTTGATGTCCTCATTGACTCATTCATTGTTGAGTAGCATGCTGTTTAGACTTTGGCTGGCTGACTGGAACTTTGGCTGAATGGAGGTCCTGGAGCACTCTGTGCTGGGGCTCTCCTGGTGTCATGGCCAGAGCAGAGGTTGGTGTAGGTGGGAGCATTCTTAGGGCTGTGCATGCAGAGGGCACCCTGCTGTACAGCTGAAGCTGAAGTGAATATGGCTCAGGGCTCTGCGCATTGAAGGCACTTTGGCAGGATAGCTAGAGCTGAAATGGGTACAAATCAGAGTGTCCCAAAGTGCTTAATTCAGAGGGTTCCCTGCTGATTGGCTAGAGCTGGGGTAGTTGCAGGCTGGGGTAGTTGCAGGCAGGTAGTTGTGCTATGCTGGGGATGCTCTGGCAAGTTATCTGGAGCCAATATGGTATGGACCTCAATGTTGCATGGCACTTTGAGCCTGTGTCACCTTGGCAAGATGGCTGCAACTATTGTGAGTGCAGACCAGAGGGTCCCAGTATGCACCCCACTGAGGCCTGCCTTGGTGGAACTGATGGGGCTATTGTGGGCTAGGGGCCCCAGGATTACTGAGGGGATAGGCTGGCTATGGACATCAGACCCTGCATCTATCTGTGCTATCAGGGTAGAGTGGGAACATGAACTGTGCTGCTCGCCAGCCCTTCTGATTCACAGAGAGTTCCAACAGCTCCCCTGTTGTTTGGCAGGGTTCTAATGGTGGTTCCTTTATATTCTAGTTGCCCCTTTAAATTTTTTTTTTTCAACATTTATTTATTTTTGGGACAGAGAGAGACAGAGCATGAACGGGGGAGGGGCAGAGAGAGAGGGAGACACAGAATCGGAAACAGGCTCCAGGCTCTGAGCCATCAGCCCAGAGCCTGACACGGGGCTCGAACTCACGGACCGCGAGATCGTGACCTGGCTGAAGTCGGACGCTTAACCGACTGCGCCACCCAGGCGCCCCATCTAGTTGCCCCTTTAAACTCTGTTTTTTTTTTTTTTTCTGTGCCTCTGGGCAGATGAATCTGCTCATGGTCCCTTCCTACTGTAGTTTACAACATCGGGAGTGGGAATTCCCTTCATTACCATGTCTCTGTTTCTCTTGCTGTTTTCTATGTGGTCTCTCCATCCTTTGTTGTGCAGAAGCTGCTCAGTCAGCCCTCATTTCTTATTCAGAAGCAACTGCTCTATAAATAGGTATAGATTTGATATGTCTGTTGGACTGAAATCTTGCAGAAGCTTTTAATTTTGATAAAGTTCAATTATCTACTTTTTATTTTCTTGTTTGTACTGAAATTAATTTTTGGTGATTCTTTTGGGAAGTAGCATGAACTTAGAGCCTCAGAGAATGAGTAGTTGATTTGTAGACTTTCAATTTACTTCTGAAATTATTTGAGTAAGAGAGATTTGTAAGGGGATCATTGTCAGTGAATCACAACATTTTGAAAAGATGTTTTAGGACAGACCAAGAATGTGACTAGAACCATTTCCTACTGTGGTGTGTTTGATACAAATGCAGTCTTAAACTCTTGCCGTACAGTGAAGCTCACTGGTACCTAGCTGGCGTGCTTGTAGCTAGTGAAGTTATGAAACCATGGGCTTTTTTCTCGTCCTTATTTAATTTTATTCCAGAACAAAACCTGAAGGACAAGACGACCTCTTCTTGGGACACTGCATTTTGCCAGAGCACCTGTAGGGGACTAATTGGATTACTTGACATAGACAATTCCTGGGACTGAGCCTCAATTTAGAGCATTCTTTAATAAATTATATTTAGGACTATGGAATCATAGAACCCTATACCCATTTGAAGTTTGGCTGTCACATGTCATCCAGCATCCACTGAGTCACCTTCAGTGACAAGACACTCATTGTTTTCCAGGGATCCCATTTTCATCTGACAGAATTCTTGTGAGGATTAAAATGTGTAGGGAACTTAATGTAATGTCTTGCACATCACAGGCACTCCAGAAATACATAATAGCTCTTACTGTTTTTGCTGACAAGTTTCTCCTTGTTGAGTTAAAAATCTCTCTTCCTGGAGCTAATCTCATTTAATCCTAGCTCTTAACTCTGATGACCCCATAGAACAGCTCTTTTAAAACATAGCGTTTGGATATTAAAGAATTCTTATATGAGCTAAATAGCCACAGTTCTTTTGATCTTCTTTAACCTCTCTTTTCTTAAATTCTACTTGTTGCTGCTGGTTATCGTGGTTCCCAAACCTGTCTGCCCATCAACATTGTCTGAGGGGCTTAGTACCAGTACCTGAAGTTGTAAGTCTGGTATGAGGCACAAACACATACATTTTTAAAGAGACCCTGATTCTGATGTATGTAGCTTGGAACCTGAAGCTCTATAACCTATTGAGAGAGAAATCCACGTGTTAAGTGTTAGGGAGAAGAGGCTGTGACTTGCTAACCTGGTCCCATAAAGCAGGGTTTTTCAACTTCTGCACTATTGATCTTTTGGGCCAGATGCTTATTTGTTGAGGGAGATTTTCCTGTGCATTTTAAGATTTTAGTTTCATCCCATGCCTCTAGCTGCCAACAGTCTGTTACTTTCCAAGTATGACGAGCAAAAATGGCCTTTGGAGGAGACAATCACCCAAGGTTAAGAACCACTGCTACAAGGATAGAAAACTCAGTTTGGGGGGCGTGTGAGTGGCTCAGTTGGTTACGTGTCCAACTTCGGCTCAGGTCATGGTCTTGTGGTTTGTGAGTTGGAGTCCCGCTTCGGGCTCTGTGCTGACAGCAGAGAGCTTGGAGCCTGCTTCAGATTCTTTGTCTCCCTCTCTCTCTGCCCCTCCCCTACTCACACTGTCCCTCTCTCTCTCTCTTAAAAATAAACATTAGAAAACAAAATTAAAAAAAAAGTTTTGGTAGTTGGATAATAGCTAAAAGCAGCTTTCAAAACTTCCTTCCCTCAGTATTCTCTTGCTTAAATAGATATTACAAGTGACTAATGATAAAATTAGGGGGCTGGGGCTCCTGGGTGGCTCCGTCTGTTAAGTGCCTGACTCTTGATTTCAGCTCAGGTCATGATCTCATGGTTCATGGGATTGAAACCCACATGAGGCTCCTTGCTGACAGTGTGTACCCTGCTTAGGATTCTCTCTCTCCCTCTCTCTCTCTGCCCCTCCCCTGCTTGTGTGCTCTCGCTCTCTCAAAATAAAGAAATAAACTTAAAAAAAAATTGGGGGGCTGGGTTAGATCTGGTTTATTTTAAATCAAGCATATTTCTGGGGCGCCTGGGTGGCTCAGTCGGTTAGGCGGCCGACTTCAGCTCAGGTCATGATCTCGCGGTCCGTGAGGGCTGTGAGTTCAAGCCCCGCGTCGGGCTCTGTGCTGACAGCTCAGAGCCTGGAGCCTGTTTCAGATTCTGTGTCTCCCTCTCTCTGACCCTCCCCTGTTCATGCTCTGTCTCTCTCTGTCTCAAAAATAAATAAATGTTAAAAAAAAAATTAAAAAAAAATAAATCAAGCATATTTCAGTTTTTCTAATTTTCTTATAGTAGATTGTGCATGGTCTTGAAATACACCACTAATCCTAAGAAACCAGGGTGTTTTTTAAGCCTTCCTGTTTGTAGTATTAATAACCATAGCAATTTGATACATCCTCCCATAGCAAGAAAAGGATCCTCAATTCAGGTATTTCACTGCTTGTTCACCCTAATCTTCTGTTGCTGATATTTATCCTCTATGTGTATGCCATCTTCCCCTCACCCCCTTCCCCAGAGCGTTGAGGCACTCTCAAAGAAGCATGTTTCAGGACCAGCATCCTGTGAACACATGAGCTGTTATCTGTCTAAACAAGCTTCCTATTCAACTTTGTCTTGCAGTGAGAGCTTATAAGAAAATTGTTGAATTGAGACACATGCTGGAAATTGCTGAGAGCAACTATAAACATTTGGGAGGGATAACAGAAGAAGATCTAAAGCAGAAGAAAGAACAGCTTGAGTCAGAAAAGTAATGTCCTCCGAACTATTATGGTTTGCTTTTAGTTACCTTTCTAAACGCTGTGTAAGGGTTTGTTGACCACCTGTTTTTCCATCCTCACCAAAGGGTGTAAGGTTCCAGCCAGTTTTTCTCTTAAGCCCCCAGATGGAGAAGATGTTAAGATGATTTTTGGTTGTGGTAAAATACACATAACATGGAATGTATCATCTTTACCATTTCTAAGGGTACAATTCAGTGGTGTTAAGTACTTTCACAGTTTTGCACAATCGATCTCCTGAACTCTTTTCATCTTGTAAAACTGAAACTCTATTTTTTTGAGACCACACCTACTTTGAGCTTATCAACCAACAGTCTCTACCTGTTCCTGTCAAATTGGACTGATTGCTTGTAAATCTGAGACCCGGTCCTGGGCTCCCCGACTGTCCTGCCCAATCAGAGAATGTGGTCGTGTCCAGGGGCAGTGAGGGGTTCCATAGCTGCCCTCACCTGTCACTGCCTACACCCTGAATCGCCTTGCTGCACATTTGGTGTTGCTGGAAGAGAGGGTGCCTCGTGCTCACTTCCTCCCACCAGACGGGGAACAAGGGGAGACGGGACAAGGGATTCTGGCCTAATCAAAACATGGGTCTGTAAAGAGCAGCCCACATGGACTCTGCTTTCCCTTTCCTTTGCTTGAGTCCCTCACACTCTTAGGACCTGTTTCCTTTTCCTCCACCGTCTTCTCAATGTAGCCTCAGGTACTTGGGAATTTAAACTGAAGTCAAAGCTGTAAGCCAAAATACCCTCTTAGTGGGATTTTAGACACTAGGAAGCTGTGGCAGACCAAAACAAAACAAAACAAAACAAAAAGAAGAACTGCTTTTTAATTAGAGGCCTTTTTGGTATCTCAGGTGTTCACTGCCTCTACATTGATTAAAGTGTTTTGAGGTGTAGAATATTTTTAGTATTGGCCTTTGCTTAAGAGCCTGGGTGAAAACCCTTGTGGTCTGGAAAAGTTCTTCACACTGGAGCATTTTTTCCCCTAGATAATGAGCTTTAAACTTTGGTTTTCTTTGCTTTCCTTCTAAGGTAGCTTAGTACTTCTATGGCTGTTTGTATAACTTCTGAGCACTACTGTATGCTGAGCACTAGATAAGCTTCTTAGATACATTATCTCATGCAGCCTTCACGGGGCCAGGAGCTATTGTCTTACTACGTGTATGGGAAACCAAGACTTAATATAGAGGTTAAGTGAGTCTCATGAAGTCACAAAGGCAGGAGAAAGGATGGGAAGTGGAGCCAGGATTTGAGCCTGAGTCTATTTGACTCCAAACCTGTTATCTGAGATGATTATGATTTTTAACAGTCCTTAACGGAACTTTTAATGCTAATATTCACATTTCACTGTGAAATGGTTATCCTGTTGATGTGATTTTGAACAGATTCTCCCCCAAAGATTGCTTTAGCCTTTGTGCCGAGTGTAGTTTCATGTCAGCTGAGACTTCAGTGTCTTCTGAGTGAGCTTTAATTCTTCTGTAGCATTTGTTCACCACTTTGTGTTGAGTACATCTTAAGACATTTATTCTTTAGGTACAAACCCGTGCTTTTAGGTCTAATTGGAAAGAAACACTGGACAAGTATTGGTTTGAGGGACGTCCTTTTGATTTTGTTGTTATCACTTAGTTAGATCAGAGTCACAATACAGCAAAGCACCAGTGGTGTTACTCTGTCCTAGGAATGAATTTCCCTTCTTGTTTGCTGAATCTTGTTTGCTGAATCAGTTGACATTCTTCTTCCCTATTCCCAGTCTCAACCCCGCTCACTTCCATGAGAGAGCTACTACTGATGCTCTTAGATCACCCTCACAGGAACCTGACATCCCACCCAGCCTGCTTCGGAAATTCTGTCCCCCCCCCCCCCCCCCCCCCCCCCCATCCAGCAACAAGGCAGAAAAATATCCCGGTTCAAGTGTCATCATCTCTTGTCTGGATTTATTTTAACATCTCCCTGATGCATTTCCAGCTTCCTGTCCCTGCCCCCTAATTCTCTGTCCCCAAACCCTGAAGTCTTTTTCAACACAGCATCCAGAGTAATCATGTTAAAATCTGGGTCCAGTAAATCTCACATACTGTTGACTGAAGGAAGTCAAGCACACAAAAGTATGTAATATGCAATTTCATTTATAAGCATAGGCAAAACTAATCTAACGTGATAGACATTCAGAATGTGGTTGCGTATGAGAAATGAAGATCACTTGGGAAGGACATGAGGGAACTTTCTGACGCAATGAAAATAGTCTGTATCTTGGCAGTTGTGGTGATTACAAGGTTTACACATTAATCAAAACTCCTTGAATTGTTCAGTTAATATTTGTATTTTACTCAAATTGTAGATCATCAAAAAAATACGAAAGCAAAACAAAAGTCTAAGCTCATGCTGTTTCTCTGCCCAGACCCTCCAATGGCTTCCCCACTTCATCCAGGGTGAAAGCCTAGATTCTTGCTGTGACTTAGAAGGCCCTGCTTATTCTGGCTCTCTTTTGACTCTGTGACCTACTAGTCTTCCTTTTATACTTTACTCCAGCCACGTTGGCTTCTGGTTTTCTTCCAGTTCGCCAGGCATACTTCTGCCTTAGGGCCTTTGCACATGCTATTCCCTCTGGAATGCTCTTCCCCCAGATGTCTACGTCGTTACCTCTCTCATTTCCTTTAGGATTTTTTTCAGAAGCCCCCTTCTCAGGAAGGCCTTCCCTGGCCACTGTGTCTGAAGTATTAATCCCCTCCTTGGCGACATTTTATATTACTCTTTCTTGCTTAAATTTTTTCTCCCTTGGCATTCATCACCTTTCCCCATACCATATTATTTACTTGTTTCTTTACTGTCTTCTTCCATAGCTAAGCTAAGCCTGAGGAAGGCAGATTTGGCCTGTTTCGTTCCCCAGTGTCTAGATCAGTGCTGGCTCATACTAGACTCTCAGTACCTATTTGTTGAATAAATTATTTCTTTGTTTTATTTGCCTTAAATACAATGCATGTATGCTTTTCGCTATTGCCAAAAATAATTGGTAGCTCATACTGAAGACTGACTGAAAACAACTTTTTTTGATAGGACAATCAAGGAGCTGCAGGGCCAGCTGGAGTATGAACGGCTACGCAGAGAAAAATTAGAAGGTCAGCTGGATGAGTATCGCGCAGAGGTAGATCAACTCAGGAAGACACTGGAAAAGATTCAGGTCTCCAGCTTTGCTGTGGTTGGTGTCCTTCTTAACACATTTATCTCTCTCAAGAAGTAGTATATAAGAGTAGCTAAGAGTCTAAGCTAGGGTTTGAATCTTGGTCATAACCCTTTTTAGTTTGGACAAGTCATTTAACCTCTCTGTGCCTTATTTTTAAGCCATAGTTAATAATTTGTACTTGGTAAAGTGTTGTAAAGATTAAAGGAGTTATGTGTATAACAGTATAAAACTTTATATGTACACACACATACTTACATATACATATATACTGGCTAGTATAGCATCCTCAGAGGTGTGCAGTGTCATTGTTTGTGACACATGAGGAAAAAATGTATTTTTTAATATTTATTTAGAGGGCTTCAGCAGGGGAGGGGCAGACAGAGAGGGAGTCACAGAACCTGAAGCAGGCTCCATGTTCTGAGCTGTCAGCACAGAGCCCAATGCAGAGCTCAAACTCATGAACTGTGAGATCATGACCTGAGCCGAAGCCGGAGGCTTAACTGACTGAGCCACCCAGGTGCCCTGAGGAAAAATATTTTTTTATAAGCAGAGTAATAATAATTCTCAGACAGCTGGAATCTGTATACTTTAACATTCTAAATAGCCAGAATAATGATTCCATGTAAGAAAGCTTCAGCTCCTCAAAAGAAATTGTTAGTATATGTGCTGCCGATGTGAGCAGTTGGATGCAAAAGCAGTTGGAACAGTAGAAAGGAGCCAACGTGGGAGTGGTCATAGCATCCCGTTGTTCAGATTGCAGAGTAGTAAAAACTAACATCTGTAACGCTTCACCTTCACAAAGTTCTTTCATGTGTTAGCATATGTCATTTGATCTGCCCTCATTTAATGTGAGGAAACCGAGGCTCAGAGACTTTAAGTGACTTGTCTAAATTCACACAGCTAGTAATGGTGAGATCAGTAGTTAATCTCTACTTTTTGATCCCATAGTTTTAGCTCTGCTTATAATTCTCGGCTAGAATTATGAATTTGGAATTCAAAATGTAGCTCTAAAATCTAGAAAAATGCTTTAGAGTGACAAATAAAAAGGACAAATGTGTAGGAGGAAGCTGAAAAGAAATGGATATAAGAGTCAGATACAAAGATACAAAGAACAAAGAAAGATACAAAGAACAAATACAGAAAGCAGGTAGAGTATGGAAAATAGAGTGAAAGTGACAGCAGGTGACCCACAGTGGTGCTCATATCATGGCCCTCTGGTCTCAGAGCAGGCAGAATGCAAACTGGGGAGACTCTGTGACCCTCACTCTCTCTTGTGAACGAAGACAGCTTGATGTAGCCCTTGTGGAAGCTCATGTGACACAGGGTAGCGATTCAGGTGCATTTCGTGTTTTCTTTCCGTAGGGAAATGTTTTCTTTGGTCATTGTGGGTGAGTTAATTCTCAGCTCTGATTTATAAATAACCACTTTAAAAATATTAACACATGTGCTTGTTATAAAATGTTAAAAGCAGGGCAGTCGTTCCTTCCCATACCAAGTCCAACTCTCCAGAGGAAGCTACTGGTAATGGTTTGGTGTGTCTCGTGTCAACAGCATTCTATTCATCTACAAACACGTGTGTGTATTTCTCTGCATGCATGCATTCACACGCTTTCTCTCAGTTTTGGTATCTTACCAGCCCTTACTTTTCCAAGAGACAGAATTAATTATAACCCATTCTCTTCATTTTTGCAGTGCTTACCTTGCACCACTCCTAGCCACTGTGGGAAGCTTTTGTGTAGAGAGGCCAGCCTCTGCGGTCACTGGGTATTGGCCGGGGACCTGAGGACACACACATTTCATAAACTACCCCCTACAGTCTGAATCCTGATGTGCCGCCTCAACCTGCGGCAGGAGATCCGCCACCTCCGCCTCCTGGCAGCACCAGATCCTACATCTTTTGGAGATTACCCAAGCCTCACCATCTTTGAGTCATTCCAAATTGATTTGTCTACCTAGAAAATTTTTATTTTTTAGTAGCTATTTAAAATATTGTTTTCTTACCCCAGAACATCTGTTCTCATGGTTGGGCTCGATTCCACATGCTACCGCACATCTCCCCTAAAGCTCTGCTCTCTACCAACCATGTGGTTTTCAGGAGAGCCGACTCAAGCTCACTGTACTCTGGGCTCACCGTCTTTTGCAGTCCTACTTTAGGTTAATCGATTTTTCATAAATGAGCAAATGTCACCAACCTTTTTTGGCAGCTGCAGTCCTGCCACTGCTTCTTTTCTGCAAAACTTCTGAGCCTTCAGTTCATCTTTGAAATGGGAATAACACCGGTCTCACAAAGTTGTATTGATGTTAAATGAAAGACTAAGTGGCAATACTGAGGTATTTTCTGTCTCGTAGTATTCATAGGAGTACATTCACGCTTTTTCATATCCTTTTCTTTTTCTTTCCTTTTCATTTCCATGTTCAAGCTGCATAAACATTGTCGGTAGATAAATAAATGTGTGGAGCCCTATACTTGAGAGTAGGAAGAATTAGTTTATTTGGGAGTCTAAATACATAACGTATAAATAAAATGAACTTCCCGTTCAGTGCTCGTTTATACAGATTTAAGAAATTTTGACCAAATCTTCTGCCACCTTCTGGTCAGGACCTATGATTGCATTCAGCTGTGCCTTGAAGACTTTTCTCTGCAACAGTCTGTAATAGTATATTTTTATCCAGGAAAAAATTCTCAGGGTAGTTTCTTAGGATCGTCTGACATCTGTAATGTACTTAAATAGTTTTTGATAATAGTAACAACAGCAGCAATTGGTTTTGATAATAGTGACCATATTTATAGTGCAAAGGTGTGGGCAGGAACACCTGGTGGAATCCTAACCCCAGCCACGAGCTCTCCCCATGGACATGTATGTGCCCTGTGTGGTTCTTGGAGCCCCTGCATTCAGCTGTGTCCTGACCAGCTGGGTGCAGAGCATTTTTGACTGGGAGAATTACTCATGGATGAGTAGCATCTGCTGAGTGTCACCTTATTTCTAGCTCTCTCTTGCTCCTTGTGGCATTAAGTGAATCTTCTGTGATAGGTCCTGAGAATACCATGATGGATGAGAAATATTTGGAAACAGTGGTGGCAGGCAGAGTGGAGAGTGAGACAAGGGCAGTAGAAGGATGTTGTATGAACACAGAGGAAGGAATGAAGTGGATGTGGAATGAAGGAATGGAAGGAACTAGATGTGGTTTCTACTACTACCGGGCTTGCAAAGAATCCAGGCGATGACATTCTAACACTGTGTGTGTCATTTAGTAGTATATTGAGAAGTGACAGGCTAAGAAAAAAAGCAGAAATAGGGCTGTTCTCTTTTGGGGATGTATCAGGCAGAGCCAGCACTGGTTGGTTTCTCTAGGTGTCTCCTACCTAGTCCATGAATCAGCACAGTATGATGGACTGATACTTCAGATTTGAGAATTTATTTATACAAAAGCCTAAATTTTAACCCAGAGTTGAAAATAAACGGTATGGCTAAATTTCTTCTTTTGGAACAGATCATGTAGAAAGATGAAATTGTGTCTACTGCAGATCTCTCATTTGGCCTTTTTCTTTGTAGGAAGAGGACTCTACTGACTCAAGCAAAGATAAAAGGCGAGTGAAGAAAAAAGTGTCTTCTGGGGGAGTTTTTGTGAGAAGGTATTCATCAATGAAATAACTTTAAATAAACTTGTTTTTCATTTTTAAATTGATATAAAACCTATATAAGTTCTCTTCAGAGTTACTCTTATATATGCTATCCCAGTTATGAAGGCAGAAATATAGACTATCAAAGGGATTGCTAAAGTTGCATGCACTTAGCTATACTCCCTCTCCCAATATACTTTTATATATTTATGTAGGCAAGACTCCACATTTATGAGTAATTAATTTTGCAAGTAATCACACAAACTTTAAACTATAAGGTGGTACAGTCAGTAATCAAAAGAAATGTAGACATTAAAAATTATTATGAAGCCATAAGAGAATTTTCTTTAACTTTCTAGAGACTATCATTTTTTAACTTTTCAAATGAGTTTTAGAAAGCATGTGGATTTAGGAGAAAATGCAGCATCAGACAAGTAAATTTTAGAAAAGGACGTCTTTACAATAACAACCAAGTATCTCAGGGAAGTTTTATGTAAAGTGAAAATCTGTTCTTGTAAAAGAAAAAAAAAATCATAGTATGTGTTTGCTAAGGATACCTATTCAAATAATCTGTTTTAGAATTCAACCACTGCCTTGTCTCACAAGCTTTATAAGAAAGCAACACAGAAATGAGGCAGACTGGACAGGATAAAAGACACATGGTTTTGTTATTCTTTCTTCCTCCTTTCCCCCCGACATTGCTGACCAAAAAAGAACCCAGCATTTCATTTCAGTTCGGACTTCATTCCCTCCCTTCCTACCTCTACCTGCTCCCTCCTTGATGTAGCCGATTTGGTCGTGGGGCAGTTGTCTATATCTTGCCTCCTCCTGAAGAGCTGATTGTTGGCTTTGGGCTTCCCAGGGAGCAGCTTTCTCACCATTCACCAGATGCTCACCCTCTGAGTCCTGGCATGTGCTTTATTTACATGGATGCTGAAGGCCTTTCTGACACAGTGTCATCAGGACCAGTTTGCCCTGACATGGGTGCATCGGAGTGCTAAGATCAGGCTGATCAAGGGTTTGTAAACAGGTGTTAAAAAATGCCTGAACTATCCTTTTGATAACCTTTATAGTCATTAGTGTTAGTTTCTCTGTGGTTTCCAATAGGCCTTCAATCTATAATAAAACATTTATTTGGTACTTACTATGTGTAAGTCCTTTCCACATATTATCTCTTAATTCTCACCACAGCAGTGGGAGACAGGTATATTTTATAGCTGGAAGATTGATTTGCTCAGAATCACACAGCAATGTGGAAGACCCTAACCTTAGTGGGGAAGGGTCAGCATCTGCATTCTTGACCACCACAGGAATTCCCAAATCCATTATTTCTCACCTTCTGGGACTACGTACAGCCTTACTTCTTCCTTCCCACCCGGTGACCCTAAGTTAATGCTTTATACTCTAGTTTGTTATTCTTGCTCTGGTTTTCTCCAGGCCACATCTCGCGTCTCTCTCTGTAGCAGAGAGGTGGGGAAGAACTAGATGAGTGTGGTCATAGAAACGTGCACCCTTGAGGCAGAGGTTCCCTGGTTGCCCCCCAGTACCTGTTCTCCCTTTTTCCCCCAGTGTTAGGACTTACCTGGCTTGTGGCTGCTCAGGATAAGGGCTAACTTCCCAATCTCCTTTGCAGCTAAGACACCAAGTTGTGGCCAATAGAGTATGAACCAAAATGGCGTATAAAACCTCAGGGTCTTGCCCTTAAAGGGAAAGGGCTTGCCTACATCTTGCCCTTTTCTACTTCTGGAATGTGGATATGGTGGTGAGTCACAGGACCTTGTGAATGAAGGCAACACCAGGAAGGGTAGAGTAATAAGATGAAAAGGATCTTGTGCCCAGATACCCCGGAGCTGGCATATTAGCCCTGGAATGCTTACACTTGGACTGCAGGTAAGTGAGAACTAAACCTCTTTGTTCTTTAAACAACTATTATTTTGGGTCTTAGGAGAGCAGCTAGATCAAGATTGTAATACCCTCAAATTACATGTATTTAATCATAAATCGCATACATGTATTGTCATGTGTGCTGTTTCCAGCACAACCAGTTCTTGGATTTTCTGACACTATCCGGATGTTCAACGGTCCAGTTCTGACATTACCCAGAGTTGGCATCAGACTCCACAGGTTAAGAGCTCAGTCCCACAAGAATGCCCCCACTTCAGACATCCTTTTGCAAGTCCCAGGTTGTCATTGGTACTTCTGACTAATCAGCGGTACTTTTGGAGGTTTCAGGAACCCTCTCCTCAGGTTCAACAATTTGCTGGAAGGGACTTGGAGAAACACTTTACTATTAGTTTATTAGAAAGGCTACGTCTCAGGAACCACCAAATGAAGGAGAGGCAGGGGGCAAGGTATGGAGTGAGCAGTGCATGAGGCTTCCATGCCTTCTCCCGTTGTGTCACCAGTGGCCTCATGTGTTCCTTGGGTTGGCCAGTAGTGACTGAACTCAGTCAACCTCCAGCTCCTCTCATGTCCTTCTCCCTTCCCCAAAGGTTGAGTTGAGTTGGGAGGTCGGGGAGGCTGAAAGTTTCACCCTCTAATCATGCCTTGGTCTATTTGGCAACCGGTCCCCATTCTGAAGTTATATAAGGGTTCCCAGCCACCAGTCATCTCAGCATACAAAACCCACTCTTATCATTCCAAAGATTTAAAGGATTTCAGGAGCTGTGTGCCAAGAAAACGGAAAGAAGCCTGTAATTACCTCTATCAAGAAATGGTAAGGGTTTTAGGAGATCTGTGCCAGGAACTGGGGACAAAGACCAAATATATTTTTATTATGCCAAATTATGTTAATGAAAAACAAAAATAGAAGTGAAAAAAAGATGTTAGAGATAGAAGTAGAAATATTGTTGTGTTTTTTAAAGTTTATTTACTTTTTGAGAGAGCAAGTGAGCATCTCAAGCAGGCTCTGCACTGTCAGCACAGAGCCCAGCACAGGGCTCGAACCCACACGTGAGATATGAGGTGAGCTGAAATCAAGAGTTTCAACCTTTTATTTATTAGTCCATAAAATGACAATCAGTTTAGTGTTGGTGACCATAGCTTTTTCCGTTGCCTCATTTTTTCTTTATATTAAAAAAAAAAATACTGCAAACTTTTATATATCTAAATTCTTAAAGACAAAAGGGGAATTATAAACTTTGATTTGCTTTTTAAATACACTGAAGGGTTTTTACTGACTCTCAACTGATCCTTATAAAACTCTGCCTGATCTACTTGGTCACCGAATGGAAGTTTACTGAATTTAAGGGAATCATAAAAAAAACAAACAAAACCCTTCATTTTATGTAATAAGTTTAAGATGAATTCCTAAAAAGCAGGGATAAACTGGCTTTTGTGAATCAAAAAAAGTGTATGTAATACTCAGAGTTCAAGACATTGGCAACTCTTTAGATTTCATACTGTCATATAATTGCACTAGGGTACACATGATTTTAAAGGTTATTGTTTTAATCCACTACCAAAAAACCCCAAATCTCCAGTTAGATGGTAAGTTGCCTTTAAAATCCAAACAATTTTTTTATGACATTTTATTTATTTATTTATTTAATTTTTAAATTAAAAAAAATTTTTTTTTAATGTTTATTTTTGAGACAGAGAAAGAGCATGAATGGGGGAGGGTCAGAGAGAGAGGGAGACACAGAATCTGAAACAGGCTCTGGACTCTGAGCTGTCAGCACAGAGCCTGACGTGGGGCTCGAACTCACAGACTGCGAGATCATGACCTGAGCCAAAGTTGGACGCTTAACCAACTGAGCCACCCAGGTGCCCCATAAATTTTTTTTTTTTAAATATGAAATTTATTGTCAAATTGGTTTCCATACAACACCCAGTGCTCATCCCAACAGGTGCCCTCCTCAATACCCATCACCCACCCTCCCCTCCCCTCCCTCCCACCCCCCATCAACCCTCAGTTCTCATTTTTTTATTTTTTATTAAAAATTTTTTTAGGGAAATGGGTGAGGCCTTGATGCGGTTAAGCGTCCGACTTCAGCCAGGTCACGATCTCATGATTCATTAGTTGAGCCTGCTTGGTCGGGCTCTGGGCTGATGGCTGGAGCCTGGGGCCTGTTCGATTCTGTGTCTCCCCTCTCTCTCTGCCCTCCCCGTTCATGCTCTGTCTCTCTCTGTCCCAAAAATAAAATAAAAAACGTTGAAAAAAAAATTTAAAAAAAAAAAAAAAAAAAAAAAAAAAAAATAAATAAAAATTTTTTTAATGTTTTATTTTTGAGACAGAGACACAGCATGAGCAGGGGAGGGTTAGAGAGAGAGGGAGACACAGAATCCAAAGCAGGCTCCAGGCTCTGAGCTGTCAGCACAGAGCCTGACACGGGGCTCGAACTCACAGACAGTGAGATCGTGACCTGAGTCGAAGTCGGAAGCTCAACCGACTGAGCCACCCAGGCGCCCCTGTTCTCAGTTTTTAAGAGTCTCTTATGTTTTGGCTCCCTCCCTCTCTAACCTCTTTTTTTTTTTTCCTTCCCCTCCCCCATGGTCTTAAGTTTCTCAGGATCCACGTAAGAGTGAAAACATATGGTATCTTTCTCTGTATGACTTATTTCACTTAGCATAACACTCTCCAGTTCCATCCAGGACAACATTTTATTTTACATGAAAAGGTAATGGTGCAGTAGTTACCAGGAAAGTTGAGTAAAGTAACAAGTATGTAGGCTTAGGAATAGTTTTTAAATTTGCAACAGACATCAAAGAAATCCTATATGATATACAGTTGTTCAAGCAAACACAAGAAAGCTCAGGCTCAGCTTCTATGAACTATTAAAAGGATAAAGACAAAAGGCCTTTTATCTCAATAGGACTTTGAACAGCTTTTCAACATGATAAAATAAAGACACATATAAAATACAAACACAAAATACATCTTCCCATTCTAAAACATTTCTTTTTAGTCCATATGTGCTTTGAATAATCTTGTTTTACTAAGTACCTGCTGCAAATTTCACTCCAAGTAATCTCTCCTGGTGTAGTGTTTTAAGAAGTCAATAGCAGTGGCCAGCAGTAGAAGAATATAGT